TTTTACTGTAAAAAGAAATAGATAAGTAAATAAAAGTCAGTGGACTAAATCAATTAGATGTGGAAAGTTACATACGCACCGTTAAATTATTTTCAAAATGGCTGCTGCTGGACGTGGTAGGGGCCGGGGACGAGGTTTATTAGCTAGAGAACTGCCAGAAGATGCCCAAACACGACCTGGAAGTATTGCATCAGAAGACGCTAAGGTTGTTTTCATTGTTATGCTTAGTCTTAAAGTATTTTCTTGTCTAAAATGATTTTTGAAGCTATTAATTTGATTCGTCTTGTTTGAAGAAGTGGGTGGAGTATCATGAAAGATTAATCAGGAGTCCAAAATACGTTGTTCTTTTACCAGCTTTATTCATATTATTCTGTAATCAATAAACGTATTGTATCCCAGTTTACCGGTACACACTCACTCCACATGTCTGAAATCGAAATGCATGTATACATATCCCGGTGTAGTCCAATATATTAGACCACAGGTGCTAGTGGCATTGATTTGACTTAATTAAAATGTGTTTGACCTTGTTAAAAAAAAAAAAAAAAAAAAAAAAGACCTAAAATGTGTTTGACTTTGTTATTTATACAATAACATATCAATATATTAAAAAAAAAAATTAAAAAAAAAAAAATTTTTTTCACTGTTATATTATTATTGACAAGGTATGCAACATTCAGGTACGAAAATTATGGGTACGCCGGTTATCTGTGTTAAAATTTTTCACCGGGCGGTAATATCGTCGGATTTTTGCATGGAATCAATGCACAATATATTTTTCTATTATAATTTACTATTTACAGATCCCCAATTAACCGCTAGTTAATGTTTTAAAGCACGAAAGTAAGAAATCACCCAGGTCCGAAAGATGAGACCGTCATGACATGTACACTGTAAGCTTGTATTTACGCTTGAAATACATCAACAAAGAGATCAAACGGGTCGAACTCACATGCAAACAACTGGATTTTACATACTTTTAAATGGTTTTATCCTCCACGAGTGGCACTAAGTCCTATGTGCCCGTATTTTAAGAAAAATTCTACATGTATAAGGTAATTCCTAAATCAGAAGTGTTCTCCAGCAACACGTGCTTGGTTCCCTGTTCCGCTCTTTGTCAATGTATGTGAAACGGAAGTCGGAGAATACTTCCGGTGGGAATTACCTTCTAAAAATATCGTCTACATGTAGGATATTTCTTCAAATACAGGCTCATAGGACTAAGTTCGACTCGTGGAGAATAAAACCATTTAAAAGTATGTAAAATCCAATTGTTTGCATGTGAGTTCGACCCGTTTGATCTCTTTGTTGATGTATTTCAAGCGTAAATACCAGCTTACAATGTACATGTCATGACGGTCTCATCTTTCGGACCTGGGTGATTTCTTACTTTCGGGCTTTAAAACATTAACTAGCGGTTAATTGGGGATCTGTAAACAGTAAATTGTAATAGAAAAATATATTGTGCATTGATTCCATGCAAAAATCCGACGATATTACCGCCCGGTGAAAAAATTTTAACACAGATAACCGGCGTACCATAATTTTCGTACCTGAATGTTGCATACCTTGTCAATAATAATATAACAGTGAAAATTTTTTTTTTTTTTTTTAAATTTTTTTTTTAATATATTGATATTTTATTGTATAAATAACAAAGTCAAACACATTTTAGGTCTTTTTTTTTTTTTTTTTTTTTTTTTTTTTTTTTAACAAGGTCAAACACATTTTAATTAGGTCAAATCAATGCCACTAGCACCTGTGTATTAGACCAAAGGGGTACGGCTCATTGAATGTTCACAAAATATGTATTTGATGGTAGAAAACATTTATCCTAAGTCAGAAATGAATTCTAAGTACATTCCCATTACACTATATACTAATATATAGACAAGGGTAACAACTCCCATAAGAAGGTGTCTATGCCCAATCAGGGTTTTTGCCTCGCAGTTTTTTACACGATACAGCATAAATAAAAAGAATTTGTGCAATTTGTAGTCGAATGATTTATCTATCGAACCAAGGTAAAACTTTTCTTATATCTCTTATACTTAACAAGTACTGGCCGTCAAAGTAACAAAAAACTGTTCATTTTCGCGAGGTCGACATCGATCGTGGCTACGCAGGAAACACAAAGTTACACGACTGTTGCAATCGTTGGAGATAATATCACAAGCATTTATCATGCTGGGCAATTGAAAATACATAAAAGTAATCAAAATATACCAATAACCTATAATGACAATGTAATATAAACTCACCTGCGGCTTCAAAATATTTCCCCGTTGAAATTTCTATAAAACACCGCCATCTTGACGAATGTAAACAACCGTCATTGGATTGGTCGATTTATTTCCCGAAAATATACCCGTAAATTTCCGAAAAAAACCGACCAATCAAATGACGGTTGTTTATATTCGTCAAGATGGCGGTGTTTTATAGAAATTTCAACGGGAAAATATTTTGAAGCCGCAGGTGAGTTTATATCACATTGTCATTATAGGTTATTGGTATATTTTGATTACTTTTATGTATTTTCAATTGCCCAGCATGATAAATGCTTGTGATATTATCTCCAACGATTGCAACAGTCGTGTAACTTTGTGTTTCCTGCGTAGCCACGATCGATGTCGACCTCGCGAAAATGAACAGTTTTTTGTTACTTTGACGGCCAGTACTCGTTAAGTATAAGAGATATAAGAAAAGTTTTACCTTGGTTCGATAGATAAATCATTCGACTACAAATTGCACAATTCCTTTTTATTTATGCTGTATCGTGTAAAAAACTGCGAGGCAAAAACCCTGATTGGGCATAGACACCTTCTTATGGGAGTTGTTACCCTTGTCTATATATTAGTATATAGTGTAATGGGAATGTACTTAGAATTCATTTCTGACTTAGGATAAATGTTTTCTACCATCAAATACATATTTTGTGAACATTCAATGAGCCGTACCCCTTTGTATTAGACGTTACAGGCTTGTTATAGTTTAATGTTGGTCAAGCCTGACGTCTAATAGTTATTGCTCAAAAACGCGTAGCATTTTGAAAAATTAAAAAAATGTCTGTTGACTTGCCTTTCAAGCTTTATTCAAAAGCTTATCTTCTGTTCTTTCAATAGCATGGTCTATCGTGCTAACTTTCAAACAATGTACTTATCAATTAAAAATAAAATATAAATATCAATCTATTTCGCTCATCGGCCATATTGGTTAAGTAAAGCGTTTTACAGATTGATTCCAATTTTTTGAACGGAAAAATATTTTCGAACACACTGAGGGTGCATGGGCAATTATTTCGTTGAAAAAATATTCCGTTAGAAACTTCTGGACTCATCTAAACACTTGCATTTGAATTGGCCAATCAGATTTCACGCACTGTATGGCGGCCATTTGTATATCGGCTGTACATGGAATTTAATTAAATGAGAGGATTTAATCATGACTTTTCGGGTGTGACAGTGCAATTATTTTGTTAAAAGGTATTTAATTTTTAGTTTTGCTCATAAATAGGTCAAAATTTATGTAAATACACGCTGTTTTTATTGTTTAAATGCATTAGATCTAAATCGATGTCTAATTTTAAATTTTTGCTACACGATTTTGTAAAGATCTGTTAAGACCTAACGTAACATGGAAAATGAAAAATGTAAAATATCAGATTTATGAATGATAAATATGAAATAGGTTACGTATAGGTCTTATAATTAGGACTAATCCCGGTGTAACCTAAATTCGGCGATATAAGAACAAATGTCGATGGCATTTTCAATAAACTACAGTACTCTATAATTATACTTGATATAATTTTACTACAAATATTTAAAAGTTACTTTAAGTTCATTTCTAACAATGTAATCGTTCAGCGGTTGCCAGATATAAACAAATATGGCTGATGTAAAATCTTACTATGATCTGAAAACGTCACCTAAATTCGGCGATTCTGATTGGTTGCAGTAATTTTTTTTATTTTGGCGGGATTGTGACGTAGTATGTTGACCTAGATCAGCAGTAAAAATAGTTAGTTTAATTTAGATAAAAAACTGCGACTGTCAAATTATTTTAATCAACAATATCAATCAAATAGAGGGAAGTATAGATAAACTTGAAATTGCATCAGGTAAAACACACAATTTTAACCATGTCATATACAATTTTTAATGTTTACCAGCGGTATCTCCATATTTAGCGCAGAAAATCACTGGAGTTGTAAAAATAGACCGTGGGACATAAACATGATTGACCTTCACCTCTGAAATCTCGCGTGAATGATGAAAAACAAAACATCGCCAAATTTAGGAGAACGCCGAATTTTGGTCACGGTAGGTTACCTCATTATCTGCACACTCTCAGCACTGACAGCGTTTTCTGCAATGGAAGTGGCTAGCCGTACGGGCCCGTACGGCTAGCCAAAAGTTCTAGCCGTACGTGAGTCACATACGACTAGCCAGGACACACTGTATTGGCTAGCCTTACGGCACTTTTCAAAATTATATGGAAGTCGAAAATGCATGTGTTATTTTGTGTCTTTAAACTAGGATTTTAATCAAAACTCGCATTTGTCCCAGTGTATTCACTTTAATAAAGATGCTCCGCCATTTTGTAAAAAAAATGAATACGAACAAGAGTTGTATAATCTATTTTGATAAAAGTGTCAAAGTTATGTTATTATAGTTATAAGATACTTGATTTTCATGCTTATGATTTGTTGTTTTATTTGTATGAAAGATGAATTGTTAAATCATTTTTGTTAATTAAGCACATGAATCGAATAAATAATGATCTGAGGGAAAGAAGGAAAGAAAGAAATTTATAAATAAAAAGAATACTGAAAAAAAACCGACGAAAAGCAAAAATAATTTAATAATTTTCAAATACAGTAGATAAATATCGGACATAACAGCACAATCAATTAATTGACCTTAATTAAAGCCTACCTAGGGACTGAGAATGTGTTCCAGGGAACATGCAAACTTTCCTTAATAAAGGACAAACTTCTATACCGTCAGTAATTGACGCAATTATCAGAGCCCAACAACAATTATTTTCGATTTCTTTTTTTTCAATTTGAAAATTAAACATAATGAGACAAAAAAGGACTATTATCAAAATTTTGTAAATTATTTCAATTGATGTTATTAGCTCACCTGTCACAAAGTGACAGGGTGAGCTTTTGTGATCGCTTTTCGTCCGGCGTCCGTCCGTCCATCGTCCGTCCGTAAACTTTTGCTTTAAATTACATCTCCTCATAAACCACTGAGCCAATTTCATCCAAACTTCACAGGAATGTTCCTTTAGTGGTCACCTTTAAAATTGTTCAAAGAATTTAATTCCATGCAGAACTCTGGTTGCCATGGCAACCGAAAGAAAAATCTTTAAATATCTTCTTTTAAACAACCCTAAGAGCTAGAGCTTAGATATTTGGCATGAAACATCTTCTAGTGAGTGTCTACCAAGTTTGTTCAAATAAAAGCCCTGGGGTCAAAATTGGCCCCGCCCCAGGGAATCATTGATTTTCCCTATATGCATATAGTAAAAACTTAAAAAATCTTCTTTTAAAGAACCCAAAGAGCCAGAGCTAAGATATTTGGCATGAAACATCTTCTAGTGAGTGTCTACCTAGTTTGTTCAAATAAAAGCCCTGGGGTCAAAATTGGCCCCGCCCCGGGGGTCATTGATTTTCCCTAATAGCATATTATAGTAAAAACTTAAAAAATCTTCTTTTAAAGATCCCTAAGAGCTAGAGCTTAGATATTTGGCATGAAACACCTTCTAGTGAATGTCTACCAAGTTTGTTCAAATAAAAGCCCTGGGGTCAAAATTGGCCCGGCACCAGTGGGTCATTGATTTTCCCTATATGCATATAGTAAAAACTTAAAAAATCTTCTTTTAAAGAACCCAAATAGCTAGAGCTAAGATATTAAGCATGAAACATCTTCTAGTGAGTGTCTACCAAGTTTGTTCAAATTAAAGCCCTGGGGTCAAAATTGGCCCCGCCCCGGGGGGTCATTGATTTTCCCTATATGCATATAGTAAAAACTTAAAAAATCTTCTTTTAAAGATTCATAAGAGCTAGAGCTTAGATATTTGGCATGAAACGTCTTCTAGTGAATGTCTACCAAGTTTGTTCAAATAAAAGCCCTTGGGTCAAAATTGACTCCGCCCCAGGGGGTCATAGATTTTCCCTATATGCATATAGTAAAAACTTAAAAAATCTTCTTTTAAAGAACCCAAAGAGCTAGAGCTAAGATATTTAGCATGAAACATCTTCTAATGAGTGTCTACCAAGTTTGTTCAAATAAAAGCCCTGGGGTCAAAATTGGCCCCGCCCCAAAAACTTAAAAAATCTTCTTTTAAAGAACTCAAAGAGCTAGAGCTAAGATATTTAGCATGAAACATGTTCTAATGGGTGTCTACCAAGTATGTTCAAATCAAAGCCCTGGGTCAAAAACTGGCCCAGCCCGGGGGGGGGGTCATTGATTTTCCTTATATGTGTATAGTAAAAACTTAAAAATCTTCTTTGAAAAGACCCAAATAGCTAGAGTTTAGATATTAAGCATGAAACATCTTTAAGTAAATATCTACAAAGTAAAAAATCTTCTTTTAAAGAACTCAAAGAGCTAGAGCTAAGATATTTAGCATGAAACATGTTCTAATGGGTGTCTACCAAGTATGTTCAAATAAAAGCCCGGGGGTCAAAACTGGCCCTGCCCCAGGGGTGTCATTGTTTTTAACTATATGTGTATAGTAAAAACTTTAAAAATCTTCTTTTAAAGAACCCAATGAGCTAGAACTTAGATGTTTAGCATGAAACATCTTCTTATGGGTGTCTACCAAGTCGGTTCAAATAAACAAATAAAAGCCCTTGGGTAAAAATTGGCCTGGGGGTGGGGGGGGCCTATATACAGGTGAGCGACCTCAGGGCCATCATGGCCCTCTTGTTTGGAATAGTTCTTCTGTATTTGTAATTCATTGACAGTTATTTCAATGAATAGTGATGAAAATCATTAGAGAAGACTACAATACACTAACCTTTCGAGCTTCAATAATCATTAAGAAAAAATCGTGCCACTTCGGTTATAAGAGGCCCCAGCCAGAGACTGGCTTTTAATGCATAAAGTTATATAGAAATTTAGCTTGACTATTCTAAGAATAGTGGGACTATTTAACAGGCATAAGCATTGGTGTGTGGTCATTTAAATTGACAAACACTTCTGTTAAAGCAACACCACTAAACATACTTACATGTACATAAAACAATCAGAGCCATGAGGGAAACAATGACCCATTGTAACACAAATATGCATTGCTTTGAAACTGGCAACAATTTGGTGCAAAAAAAATGGATAAGGGAAGAAGAACAAATATTTACCATATTCAACAATACATGGGATGTTAGACACTTAGATAATAATACAACAATACAATGATGCATAAAATACTTTGAGATATTATAGATAAGATAAACAGAAATGAACAGAAAGTCTGTGATGCAGAATCAAAGACCCATTTAATGGTGGGCCAAGGTTGCCTACACTGTTATATACATTTGTATTAAGATAATGGCGCTAAACATTTACATGTACAGTTGTAAGAAAAAAAATTAACTATTTAACTATTTACAAAATGTCTAAAACAACTTAATTAGGTATAACTGTTATGTTACAATAATCCTGAAAGAGCAGGAAAATATAAAAACACTGGGATGATGTATGGGGGCAATAATTTATTGCTGCCACGCTGCACTATATACCTGCTGTTGTAAGTATAAAAAATCACAAAAATCCCCAAGATCAGTGGAAATGTTTTGACATTAACATGTTGAAGTTTTTAGAAAAGTACAGAAACATTTTTACAAAAGTCATATACATTATTTGTCCAGAAATCCACTCCAAATGATTTATTCCACATTGAAAACCTTGATTGTTCCTGATTTAGTACCAATGTAAAGTTTGTTTTCTTTGTTGCAGTAGAATAAACTCAGTGGTCTGTCAGCTTGTTTAAGCAGTACCTTATGTGAATGCTGTGTTTCAAGGTCAGCAGATAATTGTACAATAGAATGTCCATCTGTTGTACATGTATAAATTGTTCCTGATTTGTCGACTGCTAAACCTGTGACAGTTTTAAGAAACCTAGGACTTCTTTGAATGGATATTTTAGAGGTCCTTATTTTTGTTATGCATCCATTTGTATTTAATAAAAGGGTTCCTGGAACATAAAACATATTTCCTTTTGGATGTTGTCCAATTTGTTGTAAGGTTAGGTCTGATGTAGTGATGGTACTAACTACAGCTCCATTTAATTCTATCTCGTAAACCTCTCCTTGACAGCTAACAACTAGGTTTGGTTTCTTAAACGCAATGCCATAGCATTTATCAGGTACTTTGACTTGTGTACTTAATACAAATTTGTTTTCTTGAGTAATTGATATTAACTGGATTTTTCCGACATTTGGCATTGTTGTTGCAACCATATTAGTTTTTATCAGGGTGAGATCAAAAGGTTCATAGTCTAACTTTACTTCATCTGAAGTAAATTTGCTGACAATATTTATTAGTTTTATGGATGCATTTGCCCAATCTGCTGCAAGTAAATAATTGTCAGAGATTTTGCAAAGTCCAGTGATTTCGCAAGTCTTTTTGTTAGTGGAATGTGCTGTGAAAATATCATTAGAAAAATTTATTTTTCTCCTAATTTTTGATTTCTCCATGAAAGAACCACAATCAATTGAAATGTGTAACGGGTATAGGAAATACCTAAAGAAACTGGTTATTTTTTTATCATTAAGCAGAAATTCATAATTGCTTATTTCAACAGGTTGACTAACTTCTTTAACATCAGGATTCATTTTCTCTAAAAGCTGTCTCGCTTCTTTAATGGATAAGAATGTTTCACACTTTTGATTTTCAAGCATCTTCTTAGAAAGGTTTTGTCTTAAACTTTTTAATTGAGTTTCTATTTTACTAGATTTGGAGGACATCATATTCAATCTTGTCTCATCTTTCAATTTTGTTGATTCAGATTGTTTATCCAATTTTTCTTTCTGCCTTTCTATCTTATCAAATGTTAACATTTTGTTGACCTGAAGCTTTTTGCTTTGGTTTTGATGATTGCTCATAAGCTCTCCCTTTTCTTTGTCCAATTTGGCAAGTATGTCAGCCCTCTTCTTTTCATATTGCTCCATTTCACTTTTCTTTTTCTGCTGAAGAAAATGGACTTTGTCTTGATACAGGTCTTCTGTGACTTTTTTCAATGATTTCATATGCTCTCTAACTGAAGATTTGGCATTCTGGCTGATTGACTGGACATCTGATAATTTTGAGGTCACATCAGTTTTAGATTCACTAAGAGCTTCTAAGTCAATGTCAATTTCTTTTATTACTTCATTTATTGTACATCTTAAATCAACTGATTTAACAAGACTTGGAATATGTTTAATTGTACATTCATTTTGGTGACTCAGTTTACAAACAGTACATGTCTTTAGCTGGCAAGTCATACAATAAAATTTAATCAACTCTTTTGGATGATCTTGGCATTTCTGGAAACAGAAGTCTTGTGGCATATTAGCACTATCTTGTATTGTATGGTCAGATTTATATCTCTGATGATATCTTAAACAAGTTGCACACATATATTCAAAGCAGACTGCACAAAATCCATCAGCTTTTACTGTTTCTCCTAGGTCCTTTTCACAGTGCTCACAAAACATTTCAAGCACCTCATCTGACTCTTGTGTGAGTGAATCACTTTCAGCTTTTATGTCCTCACCTGTGCTGCCTTCATCAACAGCCATTTCATGTTGATAATCAATAATTTCATCAGTATAGCCAGCTGCTGTTGCCATTTCAAGTTTTTGTTTCTTTCAATATATGTGGTTTGAATGGTGATTCTATTGACAACCTATATTACTTTATTAATTCCCAAATACATACACATTTCATCTATTGTTGTTTTTATTTATTTATTTTTTTTTATGTTAATGAAGCTTTTTTCCGGTTTTAACCAATATATTCCATATGAAATATTTAGCGGTAATAGTTATGTTAACCTGCCTTTTAGTGAAGTATTACTGAAAATATTCCTTATTATTGTTGAATACCCGTAATATTCCTATTAAACGCCCTCGGGGCTAAACATTTTCCAAAAGGGGGGCTATTATTACAATACAGTTTTTCCTAAATCCAAAAATCACTGTAAATACATTTAGTCTTAGCAAGTGTTATAATAAGTGTAATAACATTAAAAAGTGTTAAGGTTTTAAAGTTCATATTATACATATTTGTGTTTTCTATAAAATACTATGGATTCTAAATGATTTGAATAAAATTATTGCTTTAATTATGAGTTCAGCACTGATAAGTAGATTGTTTTCCTTATCAAAAGGCCTGGGGGCCTTTATTAGGGGAGGGGCGTTTATTAGGAATTTTACGGTAGATAATATTTTAAAATCAATACTAAGGGCTTGGGACAAAACACAGCTGTGCCAATGTAATAACTACTGTTATATCAGGTTTTTGCCTATTTGCAATCAAATGAAATGGCTAAAAATAAGAAACAGCAAATATTTAGTAATTGTCAGGCTTTTAACCCCTTAAATTAATTTGTAACATTCAATGGCAAAATGATGTCATCCTAAGATCGCAATTCATTCTTAAATGGCACATGGTAAAAATGTTGTTTAAAATGTTGTTTAAAGCACAAGACTTTTCTTAATTCAGGGGGTTACATAAGACAGGTTTTTCTAGCACTGGTGTAAACAGTAGATAATCCTGTCCAATATGCAAGAAAGAACTGTGCAGGTCAGACACTCACATTGATATTTCCATAGACTTACATTATAAGAAATGGTCCCTAATCCTACCTTAAAATTGAGTTTTCATGCTAAAGAGGTGTTTTTTCTAGCAGAATGAAATGCCTGACACATAAAAATGGTCCTGTTATATAGTGGTAGCCAACCAAATTTTTTGCAAAATGACTTCAAAGAGGATTACCCCCCATTTCATTGAAATTTTCTGCTGATCACAGGACTGACATACACTTTTAATGAATGCAAATATCCAAGTCAAAATTATCATAGAGACTCATGAAATATTTCATTTTCTTCAGAAAACAGTATAGTGTTACTTTTTAGCTCACCTGTCACAAAGTGACAGGATCGCTTTTCGTCCGGCGTCCGGCCATCCGTCGTCCGTTAACTTTTACTTTAAATGACATCTCCTCATAAACCACAAGGCCAATTTCATCCAAACTTCACAGGAATGTTCCTTTGGTGGTCACCTTTAAAAATTGTTCAAAGAATTTAATTCCATGCAGAACTCTGGTTGCCATGGCAACCGAAAGAAAAAACTTTAAATATCTTCTTTTAAAAAATCCTAAGAGCTAGAGCTTAGATATTTGGCATGAATTATCTTTTAGTGAGTGTCTACCAAGTTTGTTCAAATAAAAGCCCTGGGGTCAAAATTGGCCCGGCCCCAGGGGGTCATTGATTTTCCCTATATGCATATAGTAAAAACTAAAAAAATCTTCTTTTAAAGATCCCAATGAGCTAGAGCCTAGATGTTTAGCATGAAACATCTTCTTATGGGTGTCTACCAAGTTTGTTCAAATAAAAGCCCTGGGGTCAAAATTGGCCCCGCCCCAGGGGGTCATTGATTTTCCCTATATGCATATAGTAAAACTTAAAAAATCTTCTTTTAAAGAACTCAAAGAGCTAAAGCTAAGATATATTGCATCAAACATGTTCCAATAGGTGTCTACCAAGTTTGTTCAAATAAAAGCCCTGGGGTCAAAATTGGCCCCGCCCCGGGGGTCATTGATTTTCCTTATATAGCAAAAACTTAAAAAATCTTCTTTGAAAAAACCCAAATAGCTAGAGTTTAGATATAAAGCATGAAACATCTCTAGTGAGTGTCTACAAAGATTGTTCAAATAAAAGACCTGGGGTCAAAATTGGCCCAGCCCCGGGGGTCATTGATTTTCCTTATATGTGTATAGCAAAAACTTAAAATCTTCTTTGAAAAAACCCAAATAGCTAGAGTTTAGATATTAAGCATGAAACATCTTCTAGTAAGTGTCTACAAAGTTTGTTCAAATAAAAGCCGTGGGGTCAAAACTGGCCCCACCCCAGGGGTGTCATTGTTTTTAACTATATTTTTATGGTAAAAACTTAAAAAAATCTTCTTTTAAAAGACCAATGAGCTAGAGCTTAGATGTTTAGCATGAAACATCTTCTTATGGGTGTGTGGGGGGTGGGGCTATATACAGGTGAGCGACCTCAGGGCCATCATGACCCTCTTGTTTTAAATCTGCAACCAAAAGCTATTTTTTCTCGGCGTCTTGAGATGACAAAAATATATATTCATACTTTCTTTACTGTAGCCAACAAGGCGATTAATCTCTTAAAAAGTAAACATACGAAGACAATTGCTGTTTCTTGGTTAAAATCCTCGCTTAAAGTCATAAAATAACATATGCATTTTCGACTTCCATATAATTTTGAAAAGTGCCGTACGGCTAGCCAATACAGCGTGTCCTGGCTAGTCGTACGTGACTCACGTACGGTTAGAACTTTCGGCTAGCCGTACGGGCCACTTCCTTCTGCAATACCGCTGCGGACCATATTTTTCTTCTGCTGACACATGAGGTGGTGGTCCAGAATGAAAGGGTATTTTTCCAAGCGATATCTATCTTTAGGTGTTTCCAGCACAGACAAATAATTGATGACTCGATTGCATTATTACAATGTATTAATGATTAAATCACTCATGAATCCTTTTTTCGTGGGGTAACACAAAATACAATACTGGTTGAAGACCACCAAAACCGGACAACCACCAAACCGGGACAGCTGTGAAAATTCATGATTTAGGTTTTTTTAATTGGTTCAGTGGTTCAGCTGCTTTTATATCAACAGTAACTGCATGTTTGTTCTATAATTAAGTAAGTAAATTTATTTCAATTTTCTTGAATGGTAATATTTTAATGTCTTTCAAGGACGTCAAAGAGTGCAATGCCTGACCTCTTATACTTTCTATAATCATTTGCAGAGTGAATAACAGAATATCCAAAACTTCTGCATTTGCTGCTGAAATATTTTATATCATGTTAAAAATAAACAAATTAAAACATCAAAGCTTTTATTGAATTTAATCATGGACATATCTGTCCGGACACATGGTACTGATGACATGTGTGGACAATTTATTGATACCCTCCTTCACAGGCCTCGGATATAAATATCAAAATAATCAGAAATATGCAAACAAGTATGTTAGTTAGGAGAAGAACGTATCTGTACTGTGTCAAATTTTCAGATCTCTAACTTTAAAATTATAAAATCTGTATGGAAAAATGTTTAAAAAGTGTCCGGTTGGTGGTCCCCTCCTAGTAATGTTTTAGATTAGTTTATGACCAGGGATCATCCCGGATGTGCAATTATTTCAACATTATGTCATTATGATTGAGAAATTTATATATATTTCTTGCATTTCTTGAAATAATTCTTGATGATTGTAACCATGTTATTCAACAGCATATACAATCACTTTAAAACACTAAACAACGCCAGTTTTAAGTTTAATGATTAATGTGTCAACAGGCCAAATAAGTATTATGTTCCTGTTAGATAATACTACCATTGAGTTTAATGATTAATGTGTCAACAGGCCAAATAAGTATTATGTTCCTGTTAGATAATACTACTAGGATAAATTTTATTGATACAAATTTAAATGATCAATAATTTATTTAAAACTTAATAAGGTCTGTTTACAAACACTGTTACTTGTTATGGCCGTAGATTGCACATATTCTGCTAAACTTTCGCATAATGTAATCCAAGCCTTAATATTTCCATTTGACAAATATATGTGTACTGATGCAAATTTTCAGTGATTTCATGTATTCACATATAACACTTAAGTTCCTCAAAATTCCTTAAATCTATGTAATGTCTGTATTGAAGGGAGATTACTCTGACAGTAGTTACTATACAGTTTTAGAACAGATTTATAGTCCTTTATACTGTGGAGTATTCTTTGATTGTATGATGACAAAAATTCATGTATACAAGTCCAGTAGTTCAAACCCCACACAAAGCAATTTTTGTTGTTTGTTTTTTTTCTTTTTATGTATATTTTGCTTTTTCTTCAATTTGGATATTCAATTCTACAATGTATTTGACATGAATATAATTAGAGAAAAAAACACAAGAGTGATTTAAAATTAAAGTGCTTAAAATGATGTATGGTTTTGTCAAGATTAAAAGATTGACAAGTTTATATATTTAGGTGTCAGAAAATGGTGTAGAAGTGAAGAAAGAAGGAACATCAAAACAAGACAGTCTTCTAGAGTTACAACATATTCTTGATAATCTGACTTTAGATGTTAGTGACCATGATCTAAACGAGTTGTATCAGTTAGCCGAATCTGCTTCTAACACAGACAATGATATAAAACATGTAACAGAACAAGTATATTCTAAATTCACGTCAGACAGGGAGTATGCTAAAACCGGAGCTTTTATATGTGAAAAACTTGCATCGTTGGAGGTTAATGGAACAAAGTTTAGATCTTTGTTGCTTTCAATGATTCAAGCAGATTATAAAGGTACAAATTTCTGATAATTTTTATGCTTTGACTTAAATGGGGATGGCATATAGTTTTTGCATGTTCTGTCCCAACATTTTGTCTGATCTATGTCATTTTTGGAAAAAAAATATGCTGCTTATTATGTCAAAAATCATGATATGATAGTGCATTGATAGTCATGTCCAGTCTATATCTTTGTCATTCAGTGATGGATTTTGTTTTAACTTGGCTTAAATCTTTTAAAAAGATGTGATGAACTTGAACAAGTTTATTTTAAAGCTTAAGATCACAATAAGTCTATTATGGCATAGTTTCATTTATGTTGATATCAAGTCATGAATTTTGTTGTTCATATGACTGTAGGTTTTGAAAGAACTAGGCATGCTTTTGTCGTACATTAGACAAAAGCTGTATGAAAATTATTTTTAAAAAAACCTCTCAATGTTAAGAAATACATCGATCTACATGATGTACAATGATCCGAAAGTGTATTTCATCCAAAGAAGATATTTCAATAAGTGAGTTTGTGCATAATTACTTTGTTGCGAATGCAAATCATTGAAAGTTGTTTCAACTTCTGTTGTTGTATTTTACAGATAAAGACAGTCTCCGTTCAAAATCAGTATCAAAATTTTTAAACATTTTAAGTTTTATGTGTCAAGTATTTGGCACAATGAGGACGGCAGGTGGAGAAGTATTTAAACCTCTAGTCTCACCACTGTACGAGTGTTTCAATATGATTCTAGACAGTGAGCAATGTGATAATGATGAGTATGAATGCCTTAATGAACAAGTAAGTTAATACCTTCCGTTTTCAATGCGTTTTTTTAAATTTTTAAGAAAAGAAACTGATGCTTTATGGTCTCAAGACCTCCAGATTTGTTAGTTTTAGTTCTACAACTGCAATTCGTCAGTGATGATTATTGTGTTAATAATATACAGGTACATGAATGTTTGATGCAATGTCTCCATTTCTTTTTAATTGTCAATATTAGCTAATTTTAGTGGGAAAGGAGATGATACTGATCATGCTGAATCTAAAATATTTCAATAGTGACTTATTTAATGCTGCAGGGTGCATACAATTGTTTTAAGAGTCCATATTACCAGATTTTAGTTTGATAAAGAGTTGATTCTGGTGCAGATTCTAAGAATTTTAATATTTGACTGGTGTCAAATTGAATAAAGCTAACAATTAACTGTTCATGTAGTAATTTATTTTGAGAGTGCACAATATCAGGAATGTATTCTGTCCACACTCATGTTGTAATTTGTTTTGAGAGTGCACAATATCAGGAATGTATTCTGTCCAAACTATTTGGTGTGTAGGGAATCTGTTGCAACACTTTGGTTGCTATTAATCAAAATATCTGTTTATAAAAATGTATGTTTTCTTACTTCAGTTACAGTCAATTGGAAGAGATCTAGAACAAAGTGACAGAGATAAAATGGAACAAATGATGTTTAAAATCAGGTCAAAGGTCATTAGGAATGGGTAAGTAAGAAGGAGCATAAATATTTATTTAAGAACATGATGCAAAATTTGTTTATAATTAAACAAAAGATAATGCTGAAAGTGTTGATACATTGTACATTTTATCTGACAGCTTCTTACCATCACATAGGTCAGTATGAAGCTTAAAGGCACTGCCACATTATGCCTCAGAAACAAATCATTTTTCCCCTTTAGAAAGGACAAACATGAGTTTGTTAACATTTGAATAATAGTTTAAGAACATGCTTGATGCTTATCGGTTGAAGAAATTAGTGCTGAATGTGAAAATTTTTGTCTTTAAAGAAGCAAAACGTAAATGAAGTAGTATTTTGATGTTCATATTTAATACAGTTTTTTGTATAAGTAAAAATACTACTAAATTTACATTGATTATTATACTATAACTGTATTAATTGGCAAAAAGTACCAAGAGCAATAGATGGTTCAGAAAATTTGACAATGACTTGAGTAGCTTTTTGGAAAACTATAAAAGTAAACCAAAAGTAAAAAAACTTTTCAGAAATGGAAACAAAAGCATTTCTTGGGGGTATAACGGGCCTTTAAAGAAGAATAATGTCTGTATCAATTCCATTTTGACTAAAATATTGACATAAATTTGGGTTATTACATCTTTTAAGACAACTCATGTTAACGAGTGGTTATTATAGCTGACTTGATTCACTACACCCTCAAATTTTATGCCCTCACTACTTTGGGGGGGGGGGGGGTGCTTATAGATGTGCCCTCGTCTGCCAGATCTATTGTCTATAGACAGATAAGACAGTGGATTGTGATGCAAATCTATAGTATGGCCTGATTCCTTGAATTAGTTTTAATTTAATTAATCAGTTTTGTTTTAATCAATTATAAAGGTGGTCAATAGCTAAGGGAGGCAGCTAAGATTCTCATTCACTAAAAAAACAAAGAAACTTTCTATATTAATAAATTAATTAATAATTTTAAAGTGGTGATGTGGGTTAAAATATACAAATCCTAGAAATTTTCAAACCAGTTTACAGATGGACAAAGCAGCCACATTTATGGGAAACTGATAATCTCCACAAAACTAAAAGAATGAGTACATAATGTATATGAATTCCGTTTCTGATTTTTTATTTTTCAACAACTTCAGGTCTACGCCACAAGCAAGATGTACATTACTGGAGATCATCGAATGTCATTGTCGAGGCTGGAAAGATTTGGCAAATGATGTTACACGATTTTATTGTGATACGATGATGGACATTTTAACAGATTAACATCTTCATCATCCTTAAACGTCTAATGCTGTATAACTTTATGTTACTAATTCTATATGTAAAAGTGTGTATATGATAGAAATATATGAACAGAAAAACCAAATTTTTAAAGAACTGATAATGATCAAGCTAGTTATGGAAAGAATCGGTTGTTCTTCTCAGGTACCAGCTTGTGCCTGAAATAATGCACAAAGAGGCACCTGAGGTCTGCCTCCACCAGTAAAGCTGGGAAGTATTCATATGAGCCCTGTCACGACAAAACCAACATAGTGTGTTTGGGACCAGCATGGATCCAGACCAGCCTCGCAGTCTGATCAGGATCCATGCTGTTCGCTGTCAGTTTCTCCACTTGTAATAGAGTTGGAAAGCGAACAGCATGGATCCTGATCAGACTGCACAGATGCGCAGGCTGGTCTGGATCCATGCTGGTCGCAAACGCAATATGTTGGTTTTGTTGTGACGCGGCCCATATGATCTATACAGTGTAAATGTGACTTACATGTAAGTCCAACAAAACAAACAAATTGATTAAGAAACTAATTAAATGGAATGTTTTAACTTTGTTTATGGTAAGGTTTCCGGACCTTGAAAACTTTTGGTTACATTCCTTTATTGATGTATAGAGAGCATTACAATGGTCACTTACATGAAATGGTTTTTATTTGTGATGAATCCTAAACATTGTTAATAACTGAAGTATTTGACCTTTAAATGCTTAATACCTCAAATGGACTTGTTAATCTTTCAGTCTGGATAAAAATGATTATCTTTTTTTTTTTTTTTTTTGGTAATATTTCACAATAAACAAATGTATACTGAGTGAATAGTGAACAGTGCGGACCATGACCAGATAGCATGGATGTTTCAAATGATTTTGGTCTGCACTGTTTGCAAACATATAATCAGTTTTGGCAAGGGTAAACAAACTTGATATCTATCCAAAATATGTGGATGGTAATGATCCATTTATATTACTGTAATTGTGTTGTTATCATAATTCTTATATATTCAAAATGGCAATCTGTGTTAATAATGTATTTATTTGATTACTGTACAGTATTTTTTTCACACGAACATGGCACGAACATATTACTACTATAGTTTCTTCGGCATCAAAAATTTTAGGTTCTATGAAAATGATAAAGTTTAAAGTTCAAAGAAGTACACTCAATAATATATATATTTCATACTTACGTCCTCGTCTTGAATATGCTTCACTTTTATGGGATAACTGTACCCAGTACGAGAAAGATATTTTAGAAAAAATGCAATATGAAGCGGCTAGAATTGTCACCGGTTTAACAAGATCAGTGTCCATTCAAAAAATTATTAAAAGAAATAGGTTGGGTATCTTTGGCAGATAGAAGAAAAATTCAAAAAACTTATATTAGTATACAAAGATAAACATAATTTACTTCCATTATATTTATCACAATTATTCCCCCTTTAGTAGAAAATGCAAATGAAAACCAGTATAATTTAAGAAATAACATCAATTATGTTTACTATGACAAGGAGAACCGAAATATTACTCAAAAAATCAGTTATACCGTCATCAATACAGCTTTGGAATGAATTATCAATAAATATTAGAGAATCTGACTCGTTAGCAAACTTTAAAAGAAAACTGAAAGAAAATTTATAAACCTCCCATTGTTCCGTCTTATTTTATAAACGGTGAGCGATCACCAACAGTATACCATACACGTCTTAGGAATAATTGCAGTAATTTAAACTCGGAATTGTATAACAATCATATTACACAAAAACCCAGCTTGTGAATGTGGTGCTTTAATAGAGGACGCTAAACATTTTTTTATTTCAGTGTCAAAAAATTTAATCATCAGAGGATAGAACTTTTTAGAAATACAAGAGAATTTTATCCTCTCAGTACGCAAAAGTTACTTTTTGGTATAAATACTTTAACTAATTCTCAAAACATGCTTTTATTTCATCATGTTCATCGGTTTATTAAAGAAACGAAAAGGTTTATATAGTTTAACAACATTTGATCTTCTTTTATACTTTGTTTTTATGGTTCTAAACAAATTGTTAGACTATTGTCAGCTGTCAAAATTCATAGTAAAACTTTTGTAAGGGGTAGGCGACGTGTTTGTTTTTTTTGTTTTCGTTTGTTTTTTTTTTTCATATATCATAAAATATATTTATTTACAATTTTTTTTTTCTGATTATTTTTTCTTAGATTTCAACTTAATTAATCATACTTTACATATGTCTTTTTCACATCTATTTTTAAATAACATTGCAGTCAGTTTTTCAGGGGAGGGCCCCCGATAATGTTGTTATAACTTTTGGCCCAACCCTTTTGTATATTTACATTAATGTATTTATGTATAATTGTGAAAATTTATGTTTGTATGTATACATATACAATAAAATATGTTTAAATTTTTTTCACACCAGGTAAATCAGTTTTACTTTGTACAGCTAAAATTAAGCAATAATTGAAGTATTTTGTTGTATATATTTAATTTAAAATTGTGTTAACATTTTGAAATTGAGTTAACATTCCTGATTGTTGTTAATGGTTTTTTAAAGGCAGCATGATTTTGATTTTTGATTTAGTTGGGAAAAGTTAACGTTAAAAATATTTTTGATTGTTGTGAAATATGAACATTATAAGGATTTCAGTGAACCAATGTTTTAGGTGAGTAGTCGATGTGTTAATAGTGCACTGGAATAGTGTCATAAAAAATGATTAGTAAATGTACAGTAACTTCAGGTTAGCTTCCATTTATACCTTTCTTTTGAGAACAATCGAACTACTTAAGGGCCATTGCTAGTTCAATTAGATGCCCACTTTGCCTCAAATAATGCACAGTGCATTACCAAGGTCTCCATCACCAGTAAACTGGGAAAATCGCACTAGCATTATACTGTTTGTGCCGACGTGAGATCTAACCAAAAAAAATTATCCATAAATACCTAATGTATTTCAGTTAATGAATTGCATAGGAAACTGAAGATAGAAGCTCATTATAAATGTAAGAAAATCTCCAAAAAATCATTATTTTAACATTTTAAAAAATCCGAATACATTTAAGAAGACCTTCTAACTAAGTTGCCTCATCCTACTTTATCAACATTTGTTAACATATCCACTAAGTGTTGCTACAATATACATGTATGTCTTGTAAATTTGTAAATATCTCTAGAATTAGCAGGTAATGTTTTAGCATTATGAAAGTGTTACATTTTTTAAACAACAGAATGTTGAAATTTTTATACCCCCGCACAACAAAGTTGTAAGGGGTGTATACTGGAATCAGCTCGTCCAGCTGGCCGTCGGTTTTACCTTGTCCGCCCAATAACTAAAGATTCATCTGGCACACAGTCTTCATATTTTGTATTTTAAGATTGGTCATGATTAGTAGATGATCCCTATTGATTTGAAGTCAAAGGTCACAGGGGCCTTGACCAAAAAAAAAGCTTGTCCACCCAATATCTTACATTCCTTTGACCCACAGTCTTCATCTTGAAACATTGAGGTTAGTCATGATTAGTAGATGACCCCTATTGATTTTGAGGTCACTGGGTCAAGGCGCCTTGACTAAAAAAAGCTTGTCCGCCCAATAACTTTAGATTCCTTTGACCCACAGTTTCATATTGGCATGGAGATTATCAATGATGCTAATACCCCTATTGATTTTGAGTCATCTGGAAAGATCCAATGACAGGCCTGACTAAAAAAGCTTACGTTCAATTGCTTAAGCAAGCTTTGTTCAACATCTTCATATTTGTATTTAAGGTTGTTATTTGACTAGTAAGACCCCTTTTAAATAAGCTGCTCTCAAATCTTTAAGAATGCCTTTCAAGCAGTGAATGTTATGGAATTTAAACATTTGAAGCATGTAGAATGCATAACTTTGCAATCACTGTCTTATAACCTCAAAGGGCAGGGAAGGGTTTTCCCTTACTCTAAATGGGCCCCACTGTTGATTTGACAAAAGGGGTATGCTGGGGTATTCAACCGACCATTACATGGCATTTCCTACTTGCTTCTTGTTTCTTTCAAAAAAGCTTTTTATATTTGAAAAAATTTAAATTAAGGATTTGAATCAGTTTTTTTGTAAAATTTATTGAATGAGTGAATAAAACAGATGAAGTTTTTTTTACTGTTCTATTTTTAATTATTTTTGCAAACACCGAAAATATATAATATAAATATATTTTTTTAAATATCGGACAGGATTATGAATTTTCTACTGTTTTACATTTGTACTGAAAATCCATCTTCACCCCCCCAGAAGCAATTTGCGGCTTTAAATAAACCTCATTCGCGTCCTTTTAAAATGAATTTCCGTTCTTAGGGGGGATCATTTAAAAACCGTTGTGAATGAGTTTTAAGTTCATTCCACTATAAAAAAAAAAAGGTGCAATGAAATAACCGAAAAAAATTTGGGGGCAAGAAAAATACCTTTTCGTAATTTTTGTCTAAAAAATAATTGTATGTAATATGCAAGAAAAAATCAAACACAGGCTGTTGGTGCAGACAGGAATATCTAGCACCCGGGGTAATTGGTTAGCAGAAACTTGGCAGGGCCTCGTTATTGCCATAAACAATTGCCCTTGAGTTAGCCATTTCGGTCTGTACCGGCAGCCAGTGTCAGATTCTTATATGATTTGACCTCACTGTAACAAGGCTGATAGGCATATTATATGTACAGCTGATCCATACTTATTTAACAGGGTCAGAAATCTGCCACAGTTTTATGATAAAATTAGTAATTGAACTTGTTATGTACTTTAAAAACATATCATTCATGTGTAAATGTGATAAAACAGTTATTTAGAAGGTGTTTGGAATTCAATTTCAAAGTCTTTAATTTTTTTTATTTGAAATACAATTACTAAATGCATATAGCGGAATTAAAATTTGTCTAACCATGAATGCACAAGATATACAAATTTTTAGCTCAACTGAGCTTGCTCAGGGTGAGCTATTAGGATCGGTGAATGTCCGTCGTACGTCCACAATTGCTTGTGAACACACTAGTGGTCACACTTATGACTCAATCATCATCAAACTTTGTCAGGATGCTTGTCTAGTCAATTGCTCGGATGAGTTCGAAACTGGGTCATTTCGGATGGAAAACTAGGTCAAAGGAGCTAAAAATAGAAAAGCCTTGTGAACACTCTAGTGGTCACATTTTTGACCCAATCATCATCAACCTTTGTCAGAATGCTTGTTTAGATTATTGCTTGGATGAGTTCGAACATGGGTCATCTCCGATGAAAATCTAGGTCACAGGAGCTATAAATAGAAAAACCTTGTGAACCCTCTAGTGGTCACATTTTTGAACCAATCATCATCAAACTTGGTCAGAATGCTTGTCTAGTCAATTGCTTGGATGAGTTCGAACATGGGTCATCTCTGATGAAAAACTAGGTCACAGGAGCTAAAAATAGAAAAACCTTTTGAACACTCTAGTGGTCACATTTTTGACCCAATCATCATCAAACTTTGTCAGGATGTTTGTTTAGATAATTGCGCAGATGAGTATGGGTCATCTCTGATGAAAAACTAGGCCACAGGAGCTATAAATAAAAAAACCTTGTGAACACTCTAGTGGTCACATTTTTTACCCAATCATCATCAAACTTAGTGTGGATGCTTGTCTAGTCAATTGCTCAGATGAGTTTGAATATGGGTCATCTCTGATGAAAAACTAGGTCACAGGAGCTAAAAATAGAAAAACCTTTTTGAACACTCTAGTGGTCACATTTTTTACCTAATCATGATAAAACTTTGTCAGGATGCC